CTCCCTATTCCAGAGTAACTTACTTCAGCTCCTATTCCAGAGTAACTTACTTCAGCTCCTATTCCAGAGTAACTTACTTCAGCTCCCTATTCCAGAGTAACTTATTTCAGCTCCCTATTCCAGAGTAACTTATTTCAGCTCCTATTCCAGAGTAACTTACTTCAGCCCCTATTCCAGAGTAACTTACTTCAGCTTCCTATTCCAGAGTAACTTACTTCAGCTCCTATTCCAGAGTAACTTACTTCAGCTTCTATTCCAGAGTAACTTACTTCAGCTCCCTATTCCAGAGTATCTTACTTTAGTTCCCTATTCCAGCTGACTAACACAGAACCTGTTATTTCAAACCGAAACCGTCGTCTGTTGGTTGTGATTTATTCAAGTGTAGGTAGTATTTAGTCTTTTCGAGTTATAGTTTGCGGCACATGTTGATGTAGCTAGCTATCTAAAGACGCATTAAATATATAAACAACTAGAAACCCGTATGTCTGCGTCATTCGAACCAGCCACGATATACAGCATCTCTGACAATACGGTGTTTCAATATCAATGGTCATGAAATCAAGCTATCTTCATAGATCAGAATTAAAAATTAATCCAATAATGAATACAGCTAATTTCACATACGTCTTAATTGTAAAGATCAGAGGTTCATCAATTGGGTAACCCTAACTGTTAACGATACTTTCGGTCGTAATCCCAATAATATCTTACGGCCAAATTAGAAGATTTCGGTTAGTCCTAAATCCTCATATTAAATTAACAATGAAAAACAATACTCATAATAAAAGTAGATAATACAAGTATATATATATAACAATTCAACCAATAATGAAACTAACACTAGAGAAGGAACAATATAATTTCTTACATTATACAACGAAATGCGATATTTGGCAGAATACATTAGTAGCTTCAAAAAGCAGATATTTCACTAAACGTGCGTTTACAAGTGAAGATGGTCGCTCGATTCGCATTCTACGGGTCGTGGGATCGAAACCTGTCACTGTATATGCTCATCCTATCAGTCAATATAATAAGGCGGTCGAGCTCACTATTCGATTAGTGTAGCCAAAGAGTTGGCGGTGGGTGGTGTATCATGGCTATGCGCGGATTAAATCAAAATAACCAAATGATCAAAGATTCATCACTGAATCCATTTGCTTATCTCTGACCGTTCTACACGAACTGTTATATCAGTTTAGGCATAGTTACTTACCCTGACATACTTCGTTTGTTAAACCATGTTATGTTCACCATGATCATTAACGCTTGAAAAAAACATCGGTGATCAGTGTAAGGTTTACAAAGATGTTGATGGGCGCTAAACAGTAGATAGAAGAGATTTCAATACACGAAAATAAAATCGGGATTGGTTGAGATATTTCTTGTACCTTTTGTTTTGTCAGTTAAAAATTATAACAAAGAATTCCAAACAAACAGAGTTTTCTTGTTTATAAAAGAAGATTTTGTTTATTACTGCTACAGTTTTTTTTCTCTCTCTCTCTCTAGCTAAAGCAGAAAAGTGTTCCTGTTTGAGTTCAGTCGCTTGACGAGTTTTTTCTTCATATATCGATCTGTGAAGATGCGCGTGGTAACAGTAACGTCACATCCGTCTATTGAAGAGAGCCCGGCTTCTGTTTTCCTATACACGCATAACACCCACAAGCTATCACCATCTTTCAGTATGTTATTGTTTAACTGTGTACATTAAGTTGTATCGCCTTTGTTGCGAAGATAGGAGTAAACTTCGAAAAGGAGTGGATAAATAGTCGTGGAACTGAATTCAAGACAAAGACTGAAAATAATAATTATGCGGTATATATATATATTACTCATGATAAGTCATACAGAGTGAATACACATTCAGAGATCGAATTCACCATCGTAGCCTCTCTGGTGGACATGGTGAAATATTAACCGAAACATCCAACTGTATGATAAACACGATCGTAGCCTCTCTGGTGGACATGGTGAAATCGTGGGTTGGCATGATTAAACAGGATAAGAAGATTTTAAATGTTTATTTTCTTAAAAACGAAAATTATGTATGTTTGTTTGTTTTTAATTATGCACAAAGCTACACATGAGCTATCCCGGTTTCTAGCGTTGTAAGTCCACAGACATACCGCTGTGCCACTGGGGGGGGGGGCAATTATGTATGTATGAAATTTCCTTTTCGGGCCTATGCTTTATTCGTTTATCAAATCGTGCGAGATAAGACTTCTAGTTTCCAGTAATTTAGTTTTGCTGTTTCCTCTGAAGCCTAATTAAAAATGTTTAAAAGAACACAGTTATTTCATAATAAAATATTTCAAAGCTTATATCACATTGAGGTTGTGGTTAAGGCATTATTTGGTGGCTTATGAGTATTTGTGACATCTAAAAAATTCGGAAAGGCAAGGGCACGGGAACTAGGAGTGCTGAGATGTTGTTTGAGTGGAACATGGGGCAGACTTTAGTAACTTTAAGGAACTACATCTACCTGCTAAAAGAAAAGGTGACACTGTTTTGGCTTCTATACTTAGGCCTTCTTTTCCGTCGTCTCGTTTTCTTTCAACAGGTACTAACAGTCCAATTAGCTTTTAAGTATGGGGTGATGCGCATGCGTGGTTCCCATCATTCACATGGGTTTCGGTTTTGTTCTCAGTACCTCCTGGCCTGAAATAGAGTGAGTGCTGCGCATGCGTGGTTCCCATCATTCACAGGCATTTCGGTTTTGTTCTCAGTACCTCCTGGCCTGAAATAGAGTGAGTGCTGTGCATGCGTGGCTCCCATCATTCACATGGGTTTCGGTTTTGTTCTCAGCACCTCCTGGCTTGAAATAGAGTGAGTGCTGCGCATGCGTGGTTCCCATCATTCACAGAGGGTTTCGGTTTTGTTCTCAGCACCTCTACTACAAAAGCTGTTTCAACGTCAATGGCTAACGGAGCTATCAACACGAAGCTGACCGGTATTCTACACATGCGCAGTCTTTGATTAACAGTCATTATCTATCGCCAGTCAAGACTGACGATTAATGTAATTCAGTAAAAGAAGGATGTCGAAGTCGTTTCGATGAACACCAGGAAGATTGAATGCTATCTTATCTGTCATAGTGGATGTGAGAGAACGTTTGTTTTTTCTAATGCGGTAAAAGCCGGAAGAATACAAAATACACGCTCAACACATCACACGTAATATCTTCCTCACACGATAGAAGGATGGTTTAGTATCCCACGTTTCTCTTGTCGTGCTAGAGAAGTTCACAAAACGAATGGAAACAAGACTTTTAGAGTTTCAAGCACAACGAAT